AAGAAGAAATAAGGTCAACAGAAGTAATCTTAATGGAACTCCCCAACAATTTAGAATAGAAACTCTGTGGGGAATTGATTGAAGTAAACAATTGAATCCGAAACACTAGGTTTAAGTTATCGGAATTTTTTGGGGTTGATGATTATGAGTCTCAGTGTCATATCAAATTCAATTTGACATGCAAATATTCCATACCTTGGCTGCATTGTTGTCTCATATTAGGTGCATAATTTTCTTACATTGCAGAGAGACAGAATCGTGCTTCTGTCGTGGTGAAGGCTACTGGGGAAAGCTCGGAGTCTTCGAACTCCCTTAGTATTGTAAAATCTGTTCAGAATGTCGTAAGCTCTTACCCTCTGTGTTCTTGTAATCACATCTTGTTTATGTCTGGTTTGTGTTGTGTTTATTCAATCAAAAAAGCATTGTTTGGCAAAATCAAATCATGTTATGCTTGGGTGAGCTTGGATCTTTATGCAATATTTCCATTCTTCTTTTCTTTCCTCTAATGGTTTTCAATTGTGTGCTAAGTTCATAGCTTCCTCCTTTATTAAATTGCAAGAAAGGGTGTCTATTTCTCATCTATGAGATAATTGACTGCGATATGTTCCGCTAATAAGCTAAGAATTTATAGTTTTCCAACGTTTGGTCAGTTTATTTTTTCCACATTAAGCAGTAGTTTCTTCATTCCATAGAAATGACGAGTTAATTTTGGTTTCTTTTTAAATGTCAGTCTCAATATTTTCTTGATCTTGTTATGATTTGAAACAGTGGGATAACTCGGAAGATCGGCCAGGTCTTGTTGGTTTGGGGTTTGCAGCTATAGTTGCATTTTGGGCATCATCGAATCTGATTACAGTAATTTCTGGATCTCTCTCTTCTTTACGTTGTTAACAGGAAATGATTTACTCAAATAAAACAAGAGTCGTTGCAACTGTAGATAGGATCGATCTTATATGTACTAATACCGACTAGAATCATCTGGTTTCTTCACTGACCCATTTTTCAGATACCTTGGGGTGGTGTTGAGAAATCAACTTCAAAGTTTCCACACCTAGTCATATTGCTCCAACATAGGATAGATTTTTTAAGAAGACAACCAACACACTAGTTTAGAGCAATTGCATTTGCCTACATCTTATGGTATTATTTGCAGATTTTTTAACTTTGCCACACACATACACTGTTTTCATCAGTGAACTGACTTTCAGCTTCT